TTAGGCTGACTATGTTCTTTTTTAAAAACTATTGATAGCCTCAAAAGCTAGTCAGTTCAAGATCTGCTGTACCTTGACGACTTTGTTCAAAACATTGTGCCAAATGAAAGGCCAAATTGACAGACATCTTAATTCCCAGCGAGACTCAAGCAAATGTTTTCCATTTTATTTCCCCAAATGTTCCACAGCTTCGCAAATGGGCCTCATGGCATGTGCCTGCATTTGCGTTGCAGTCTTCGGATGGAGTCGCTGTCGGGTCTCCTTGCACCGATCAAGAAGCCGATATTGCGGTTGAAGAATTTCCAGTGCTTCATCTGGCCTTGACCACCCGTGGTGCCATTCTAGACCTCTTCAAGCGCTTGGAACTGGAGCATGGCCAGATATTTGTATGCACTTCATCCTTAAAAATGAGCCAAATTTAGATAACTTTTCTTATACATTATTTTTGGACTGATTTAAGTTTGAGTCTACTTACTTACCCACTCACAATGAAGCGTTTACTTAAGTTATTAAACCCCAAAATCATTGATGCACTCAAAGGGATTTCAAATATAACCGATTTATTGCGAATGCTCAGTAGTAGTTTTGTATCCATACAAATACACACGCACGCACGTGTGCACCACAGGGGAATATGGGGGGGAGAGAGAAAGAGAGAGCGACAAAGTTAAGAATGTTTAATCGAAGGTATGAAGACCAAGATGGTGTGGCCTTAAAAATGTTTAGCTTATTTCCATTTTGCGTGAAAGTTAGCAATGCGTAGATTCATATGTCAATCACACCAGAGGACGACGGCATATTCCTTATGGTCTATTGTCGTTTGGCTTTACCGAACCGTTCCAGTTTACAAAGTCGTCGAGCCAGTTTCCCTCGAGTCTAGTGAAAGCTCACCAAGCTTTGACTTGCAATCACAGCTGGGTACCAGTTCAAAAACTGCTTTGAGCTAGCGAGGAAAGGAAACTCACCAACCTGTATCTGTACCTATTCTCAGACCCTATGAAGTGTAGCGACCCATAGAGTCATTTGGTTAGTTGATGCCATATATAAATTTAGAAAAACTCGTGCGTGTGTGCATGGAGTAATTTGTTTCGACTTCGCACCCTTACGCTTGCATGAGGGCGCATTTCCTCGCACACACAGTCGTACACACAAAAATACAAGATTGCAATCTAACATGGACTAACCAGCTCACCCTACACCTCACCACAATTTAAAACATGCAGTGAAAAAAAGCCTATGAATTTTCCCGGATTGCTAGCTCAAATTTGTCGTACAAAGGATACCCGGGTTTGGTGATGCATGCCAAGTAATATAAAAGATACGAAGAGAAACTTGGTTTCGATGAATATCCTGAGATAACATTGTTAGGGGGAACTTCATTTCGAA